AAAAATTCCTTTGCTTGAATGAGCTACTTCTATCCCTAGGAAATATCTCAGTTTCCCAAGGTCTTTGATTTCAAACTCAGAGGCAAGCCGTGTTTGCAGAATCTGTCTCTCCAAAAAATCATCACCTGTGATAATAATATCATCAACATATACAAGGAGCACAATAAGCTTCCCATTTTGGGAGTGCTTGAAGAAAAGAGTGTGATCTCCTTGGCTCTGTCTGTATCCTAAGGTCATCATAACCTTAGTAAATCTTCCAAACCAAGCACGAGGTGACTGCTTCAATCCATACAAGGCCTTTTTTAATCTACAAACTTTATTTTCTCCCTTCATAGAATCAAAACCAGGCGGGATTTCCATGTAGACTTCTTCTTCTAACTCACCATTGAGGAAAGCATTTTTCACATCAAATTGATTTATATCCCAATTGTAATGGGCAGCAAGGGATAACAAGATTCTCACTGTATTCATCTTTGCAACTGGAGCAAAGGTTTCTTCATAATCAATGCCATAGGTTTGAGTGTAACCTTTGGCCACTAATCGAGCCTTATATCTCTCAAGAGTGCCATCAGAATTATATTTCAGGGTATAAACCCATCTGCACCCTACTGCTTTCTTTCCGTTGGGTCTATCAATAACCTCCCATGTTTTATTTTTCTCCAAAGCATTCATCTCCTCTTGCATGGCTTGAGCCCAATTCCTATCTTTCAAGGCTTCATGTACTGATTTTGGGATTGCAATAGAATCTAGTGCTGAAACAAAGCTTTTGTGCTGCACAGAAAGATTAGCAGAGGAAACAAAGTGGGAGATAGGGTATTGAGTACAAGAGGGACAGGAGGAACAAGTTTTCTTGTGACAAGATCTTTTTCCTTTTCTAAGAGCAATATGTAAGTCATCAGAAGTAGAAGCAATGGGTAAGTCATTAGAGATATCAGAAGAAATAGACAAATCATGAGAGGAAATAATATTAGAATCAGAAACAGGAGATTCAGAAGAAATAAGAGATTCAGGACTTACCAGTGGTTCAGACGATTGAGGTTGCTGGTGAGACAGTATGGGTTGTATCTCAGGTGTATTTGAAGGTTCTGACACACCAGGAGCAGACACACTAGGAAGAGAGAAGATTGATCCAGACTCAAAGAAGGAAGGGGACGAGTTTTCTGAAGAACTATTCTCCCCCTGACGATGAGGACCCAGGAAATAAGATTCAGATTCTTGAAAGGTGACATCCATAGAAACAAAAAATTTCCGACTTGGTGGATGATAACACTTGTACCCTTTTTTATAAGGGTTATAACCAAGGAAGACACACTTAAGAGCCCTAGGATCCAACTTACTCCGATGTTGTTTATGAACATGAAAGGCAACACATCCAAACACTCTTGGTGGAAGGCTCTGCAATATGGGAACAGAAGGAAAGAAGGAAGTCATGGAATGAATAGGACTGATATTGTTAAGGACCCGTGAAGGTAAACGGTTGATCAAAAAAGTTGCAGCTAATACTGCTTCTCCCCAATAAGAACTAGGAACAGATGTCTGAAAAAGTAGTGCTCTAGCAACTTCAAGAAGGTGACGATTTTTCCTTTCAGCAACCCCGTTTTGTTGAGGGGTATCAACACATGTGAGCTCATGAATCATACCTCTGTCTGAAATGAATTGTGACAGGCGTTGATTGACGTACTCAGTACCATTATCAGATCTGAGTCTTTTAATACCCTTACCAAACTGAGTCTCAACCATGTGATGAAACCGAATAAATATCTCTGGTACTTCAGACTTGTCTTTCATCAAGTATATCCATGTTATCCGAGTACAATCGTCAATAAAAGAAACAAACCACCTAGCACCTGAAACACTGTGCACTTTAGAAGGGCCCCAAACATCAGAATGGATAAGAGAAAAAGGTTCTCTGCTTTTAATAGTGCTAGAAGGAAATGACACTCGATGGTGTTTTGCAAATTCACAAACATCACAATGAAAGGTATCAACCGACTTATTGAGAAACAGAGAGGGGAACATAGACTTCAAAAGACTAAATGGTGGATGCCCGAGACGCTTGTGATGGAGCCAAATCATAGACTCTGCAGTAGAAGGATGACGTGTCATTAATAACTGATTTTTGCTAGCATGGTCTGGAAGGAGATGATACAACCCATCCTGTTCATTAGCAACTCCAATTGTCTTCTTCGTGGTAAGATCCTGAATAAGACAATGAGAAGGAAAAAATGTGATAGAACAATTCAAATCAGTTGTAAGTTTTTGAGTGGAGATAAGATTAGTAGAAAGCTGAGGAACATAAAGAACATTTTTAAGAAACAAGGAAGGTTGAATTTGAATGTTACCAGAACCAATAACTGATTTATGGGATCCATCAGCTACGGATATAGTATGACTACCAACAGTAGGATGATAAGAACAAAATAACTCAGTACGACAAGCCATATGATCAGTTGCACCAGAATCCAAAATCCATGAGGTTTTAAAATCAGTGCAAGAAGCAAGAAGAGATATAGAACGTGTGCTCCTACCAGATAAGATCGAAGAACTATCATGCTCAGCCATTCTTTAACAAAAAAAGTTAACAACCAGCGATAAAATCAACCAAACAGAATATCAAATGACCTCTGATCAGAAAAATAATTATAGATCCAGACAGAAGACAAGAAGACGAGAAGAATGGTGGTGGTCCGGTCCAAAAACACGGCCGCACGCGCCTCCACGCGCCGGAGAAAGGAGCTGCGCGTGGGATTCACTCGCCGGGAAAGGGGCGGCGCGTGAGAGCGCGTGGATGGGCTTCGCCGGCTGAGATTTTTCTGGTGTGGTCGTCCGATGAGCGCACACCTGTCTGTGGGTGGTCGCGGTTGAAAAGTCGCCGGAAAGTGGTCCAAACGGTGAAGACAGATCTGATTGGAGGCGATCGGAGGTGTTTCGGTCGTTTGTGGCGGAGGAACACTGCGTAGAATGATAGATCGGAGAAAAAATAAGGTCAACAATGGTCCCCTTGGTCCAAAAGGTCCCCGGAAAAATTTTCCGGTGGCGGCTAATGGCGGCAAGAGGCAAAGAAATTAGGGTTTTGTTAAAAAAGAAGATGATATGTGCGGAAGCAAAGCCTTCAGATCGAGAGCTCTGATACCAACTTGAAAAAGGGTATTCTAATATATTACAGAATTGTATATAATCTGTACAAAGGGTTCTCTATTTATAGAGAATATTTGACCTACTTTTAACCTAATGGGCTTGGCCCAATACAACAAAGGGCTTGACTCAATACAACAATAAATGACTAAATAAAAATTAAATAATAACTAAATCAATATTATTTACAACATTCTTCTTGTGCACGCGATTCTTTTGCTTCTGCACCAGTTCGTCCTTTTGCTTCATGATCGTGACTTATCTTTAATAATTGTGTTTACAAAAAATTCTTTTTCTTTTGCTTCTGCACCAGTTCGTCCTTTTGCTTCATGATCGTGACTTATCTTTAATAATTGTGTTTACAAAAAATTCTTTAATAATTGTTATTTGTCAGTTCCCAAAACTCGTTGCGCACGTTGATTTCTCCGTTACGTCGTTCCCCATCTGTTGAACCACAAACACAAAGTTATCCAAAACGATTGGCCTTCTAGTTATAACTCTTTTTCAAAATGTCGGGACGTGAGTGCCAAAGGCCACATATTACACACTTTTAGCCAAACATCCACCAACCGACTTGTTCTCTTGCACACCTTTTGAGTGGAAGGGTGGGAACTCGAGACTCGAGTCAATATGATATGACACGAAATTATGATAAAGATAAAAATATAAATACACTCCACATAAATATGATACCAATTTGAAATTGGGTTAAAACAAATTCGATATGAACACGATCCGTTTATTTTGTGAATTGGCACAACACAACATGAATAACTCGCAACTTAGGTGTATTGCTAATTATACGGGTTAATACGATATGACATGACGTCTAACCTGTCAACTTCAAATTGTGTTACTTATTATGTGGATCGAACGATACGATAAGATACAAATAACTTATTTACGACACGACATAATACAAATAATCTGTAAGAATATTAACACAAGTCATTTTCAGATTCGCAGGTTGATACTCGACACGATACGAATATTTTCGTGTAACATGACACAAATTTGTAAACGGATAAACTCAAATACAAATTTTTTCTGTTATGACTTCGTGTCATGATAGTGGGTCATGTTGAAAATTATTACCCATACTTTTGAATTATTTATAAGAAATTTTTAACATCAAGATCGATACATGTATGATATATAAAACACCATAAATCAATTTCATTCTGAGAGTAATTTGTGTACCTGATTGGACCATCTTATCTACTGAGCGAAGAACCTCGATCTCACAGCTAGAATCTTCTTCTCTGTTACCTATTCCGAAAGTGACAGCCTCAGCGATAGGAGCATGACGGCTCATGAGACTTTATCTCAATATAAATAGGCTAGAGAGGGGACCTAGCAAAACCCTAATCAACAGTGTGTCTGATGGGTCTACCCATCACAGAAGTCTAATCAGAAACTAATGTCTACACTGTGCTGCCCAACTAGGCCCAATACCAAAAGATGTCAAAAGCTCAACTCAACATAATCACAATAGGCTAATCACAATAGATTAAATTGGAATATCTATTAACCCGATTATTTTAGAAAATACAAAAATATTAATTAATATTGCCCACATAAAAAATTTCTAACATTATCACCTTTTGTAACATGTGGCGGAGAAAATTAAAAGAGAAAAAAATGATAATTAAGAAGTACGTTGCTCTTAATAATAAAGAAAATGATTGTTGATTTGAAACATTAATATAAAATTATTATTCAAGAAAAGAGAGTGAAACGATCTTGGAACTTTTCGCATTCTATATTCTGTTCAAATTTTCTTTTTTCAAAATTTAAATTAAAAAATAAGTATAAGTTTATTTATAAAGATTCCTTTGAAATAACTGTATCCCTCTATATATACGTGTTTTGGGGTGTCATGTTTGGCTAAGAGAGTGCGATTGAGTAGTGTTTTTTTTTTTTATAACTAAAAATTCTGTGTCATTATTTGAAACTAAGAATGGCTCTACCAAATTCCTTGGAAGTTGAACTTGAAGTTAAAGCCTCCGCTGATCACTTTTACGACACCTTGAAGGGTAAGAAACAACATCGTGTTCATGATGTTGCATCAGATCATATTCATAAGGTTGAAGTTCACGAAGGTGAGTGGGAGAAATCTGGCACCGTCAAGCAAGTCACGTTTGCTGTGGGTAAGTTCATCACCACTCACAAGCTATCGTATTTATGTTACTATATTGTTTAAGTGTGAACACCAATATCCAGAATAAGACTAGTGATGTAGGTGTATATGTGAATGGTAAATGCTGTGAGACTTGGTAGAAATGGTGTAAGGCTGTGCGGATGAAGTGTGGTCCTTTGGGACACTGTTCATGTATTCATACTGGTCATAAAGAGCAGTTATCATGATGGTAATGGCCTCGTAACGGTTTTTCTAGGGGGCGTTTGGTACAGGAGAAATTTTTATTTGTCCGGAAATCTCGATCTTTAAAAATACGATTTTTACATTCAATTTACGATAATATCTGAAAATTTAAAATTTTAAAAATTTCAGTTTCCCAAGAATCCGAGAAAAATCCGTGTACCAAACGGCCCCCTAAGGATAATCATATATATCAAAGAGTGAGGAGAGGGTGGTGGATTGGCGTGGATGCCAATCCACGACCTGGATTTATGGGCTAAAGCTCTGGTTGGACGGGTCCTGGCCGAGTAGGAAGCCTTTGGGCCTGAGCCCAAATACGGGTATATATACTCGGAACAATTATGTTTTTGTGTGTTTTTGTTTTCGAAATTCGAATTGACTTGTAGCTAACACATGTTTGTGTTTTTTTATATGCAGGGGACACTGTTGAGACCTTGAAGGAGAGAGTAGAATTTGATGATGAAAACAAGAAGATAACCTATTTCATTTTGGAGGGTGATATGTTGAAGTACTACAAGAGCTACAATGTCATTCTTCTTGTCATACCCAAAGGTGAGCACTGCCTGGTGAAGTGGTCTTTGTTTTATGAGAAGGTGGATGACACTGCTCCTGCACCAACCAAATACAAAGATTTGTTGGTTAAGCTCACTAGGAACATCGAGACTCATCTAGTCGAGGAATATTAAAATTATCCCAAAATGGTCCTCTAAATAAAATTGTGTTGTGCTTGCCTGTGCCCTAATGGTTATCGACCAAATGTTATAAATAATGTTCAGTGGTGTGTGTTATGTTATATATTGTTGGTTTGTTTAAGATTTTGGCAACCCTAGGGAGGGCCAAATGCCTTGTATATCTATGATCTGTAAGCTTCAACTGGATACTAATTAATTGAAGGTAAGGAGGAGCTATCCTTGTTTGTGTCAAACAATTGCCAAGGACTTTTAAACGTGTGTTTTGAGAAATTGATTGATGTAGCTTGAAGAGACAAAACAAGTCAGATCAAGTAACATTAAACTTGAACCTTGAAACACTATCCAATAGCATGCATGAGTACAGATGAATTTTTTATATGTTATTTCCCCAAACGGGGCAAAGGGAAAGCAAATTTGTTGGAATGATTGAGAATCAATTCTTCATCCTTAAGTTAATTTTTTTTTGGATACATCCTTAATTAAGTTAATATCTTATCATCAAGATTACAAAAAAAAAAATATATCTTATCATCATGTCATGTTTATATCATATTTTGCCTTATCAAATGAGATCTAAAATGCTTTTAATATTTTAAACATTTAATTCACCTTAATTTCTCAATTAATAATAGCTGTAAATAATTAAAATAGTCAAAGTTAGATATTAAATCCGATCCTTGGAAAAAAATTTGGTGCTCCAAATTCCATGTGGTCCTTTTATTTAAGAGATGACACTTGAATAAATAAAATTTTATTTCTTCTCTTCCTTAGTAATTGTTTGATTTTATTGTTCTGGACCACTGAGTTAATAGTGATCTGGGACCACCAAAATTTTTCTCCCAGTCCTGATATACATGGGAACTAGGGTCGGTAAAACGGGCTCGAATTGGCGGGCCAACCCGCCTCGCTTGCAAACAGGACGGGATGGGCTGAGTTTTACAACCCACTCCCAAAAGCGGGATGAGATCTTTTTTGGCCAGGAAAGACGGGCCGAGGCAAATCTGTATATAACAAGTTCAGACCGACAGGTCAACTCGCCCCTCCCGTCAAATAGGGAAGGGCAAGCTGAGTTTTTAGGCCACTTTGAAAAGTGGGACAGAACAGACTGGCTTGTTTTTTGGCCAGAGCCGTCCACTTTTTTTTTTTTTTTTTTTGTAAATAAAGAGGGGCTAAGCCCCTCCACTTTACTACCTATAATGAAAATCATATATCTTATTAGAACTCAAATGCTTGCAAAAAAGTTCAATATAACAAGGTTAAACCCACATATGTGCTTATGAGATGTGACAAGACAGACCATCTGTGCATGTGTATCAAGCCAAGGTTCAAGTCTATATTCTGTAATATTAATTCAATATCATTCGATATGTAAATTCTCGAGCTGATAAAAATGATTCTATGATGTTCTGTAATAAATTGAGTCTTCAAAAAGGCCAGTTACATCTGAATCATTTTAAATGATTTCATTTGGGATTTTTTTTAATCTTCCTCTGTCTCTTATTTTTGAGTTATTAACCACATCATCATAGGTGAATTATATCATATTTTTCTCAATAGGTATACTATCTGTCAGGCAAAGTCATTGTTCCTCCTTTAATGTTGATGACTTGGAGACTTGAGCATGTGCCACATATTATGGGTGCAAGACTCAAGGTTTGATTTTTTCTACCATTCAATAAATGCTCTCTCGCATCTCATTAATGAAGACTAGCTGAAGGAGAATTATAATAAACCTAAATTATGAATTATGAAAATTACATGTGATTAATAATTTAATCATGCATTTTGAAAATTAATTAGCAATGAGTTCTAATTAAATAAAACTAAGTCACTTATGGTAAAAAAATGCATTTACCGTAAAGTTTTTGGTAAAAATGCAATTAGGCAAATTATACCCAAAACTATTAAATAATGTGGTGAAACATTATTTTAAGACATAAGTGAAAGTGGGAATTATTATAAGGTGGTTAAGTCATGAGATTAAAGGAGTAAATGATGAAAAAGACATAATGGGAATTTATGAGAAGTGAAGGGCATAATGATCATTTCACCATTAATTACTTTATACTTTAACCAAATTGATATTTCTTCCACATTCTCTTCTTCTTCTTCTTCTTCTTATCATGACCGAATCCATGGAATCCAAATTTCAACTTCTTCATCTCTCATCTAAACCAAAAAGCTTGAACATCAAAATTGCTTAGAACTTAGTTGTGATCAAAACCTATAATCTACGTTTTGTTAAAGACTTGAGTGTGGTCAGAAAAACTCTTGGGAAAATGCGCCCCTATTGGTGTTTGGAGTCTTGGAAGCTTGTTTGATCACATCCAAGGTGGGTAAATCATTCCTAGGCCACTTGTGAAGAACTAGGTGGTAAGAAATCTCACTTTCCATGAGTTTTATGATAATGGGTTTGTTACGTTTTCATTATGAAATGTTGGTTGAATTCATGATGATCAAGTGAGTTTGAGACTTGGTTTATGTTAAGGAACCTAAAAAAACGGTGCAAGTGTGAGAAAATCATCATTTAGACAATCTTCAAGATTTCATACTCTTACAAAGATTTGTTGGTTAAGCTCACTAGGAACATCGAGACCCATCTAGTTGAGGCATATTAAAATTATCCCAAAATGGTCCTCTAAATAAAATTGTGTTGTGCTTGCCTGTGCCCTAATGGTTATCGACCAAATGTTATAAATAATGTTCAGTGGTGTGTGTTATATTATATATTGTTGGTTTGTTTAAGATTTTGGCAACCCTAGGGAGGGCCAAATGCCTTGTATATCTATGATTTCTAAGCTTCAACTGGATACTAATTAATTAAAGGTAAGGAGGAGCTATCCTTGTTTGTGACAAACAATTGCCAACGACTTTTAAACGTGTGTTTTGAGAAATTGATTGATGTAGCTTGAAGAGACAAAACAAGCCAGATGAAGTAATATTCAACTTGAACCTTGAAACACTATCCAATAGCATGCATGAGTACAGATGAATTTTTTATATTTTATTCCCCAAACGGGCAAAGGGAAAGCAAATTTGTTGGAATGATTTCAATTCTTCATCCTTAAGTTAATTTTTTTTTTGGATACATCCTTAATTAAGTTAATATCTTATAATCAACATTACAAAAAAAATATATATATCTTATCATCATGTCATGTTTATATCATATATATTCTGCCTTATCAAATGGGATCTAAAATGCTTTTAATATTTTAAACATTTAATTCACCTTAATTTCTCATTTAATAATAGTTGTAGATAATTTTTTTTTTGGGTACATAAAGGGGCTAAAGCCCCACTTGTACATAGCTATAGATAATTAAAATGGTCAAAGTTTGATATTAAATCCGGTGTTGGGGAAAAAATTTGGTACTTCAAACTCCATGTGGTCCTTTCATTTAAGAGATGACACTTGAATAATTTTTTTTTATTTCTTCTCTTTCCTTAGTAATTGTTTGATTTTATTGGTCTGAACCACTGAGTTAATAGTGATCCGGGACCACCAAAATTCTTCTCCCAGTCTTGATATATATATATATATATATATATATATATATATATATGGGAACTAGGGTCGGCAAAACGGGCTCGAAACGGCAGGTCAACCCGCCTCGCTTGCCAAACAGGGCGGGATGGGCTGAGTTTTACAACCCACTCTCAGAAGCGGGTCGGGCTCTTTTTTGGCCGAGAAAGGCGGGCCAGGCGAATCCGTATAAAACATGTTCGGACCGACAGGTCAATCCGCCCCTCCCGTCAAATAGGGCAGGACAAGCTGAGTTTTTAGCCCACTTCTAAAAGTGGGACGGAACAGGATGACTTGTTTTTTGGCCAGAGCTGCCCACTTTACTACCTGTAATGGAAGTCATATATCTTATTAGAACTTGGGTGCTTGCAAAAAAGTTCAATATAACAAGGTTAAACCCACACATGTGCTTATGAGATGTGACAAGACAGACCACCCGCACATGTGTATCAAGCCAAAGCTCAAGTCTATATTCTGTAATATTAATTCAATATCATACGATATGTAAATTCTCGAGCTGATAAAAAAATTTCTATGATGTTCTGTAATAAACTGAGTCTTCACAAAGGCCAGTTACATCTGAATTGTTTTAAATGATTTCATTTAGGATTTTTTTTAATCTTCCTCTATCTCTAATTTTTGAGTTATTAGCCACATCTTCATAGGTGAATTATATCATATTTTTTTCAATAGGTATACTATCTGTTAGGCAAAGTCATTGTTCCACCTTTAATGCTGATGACTTGGAGACTTGAGCATGTGCCACATATTATGGGTGCAAGACTCAAGGTTTGATTTTCTCTACCACACGATAAATGCCCTCTCGTATCTCATTAATGAAGACTAGCTGAAGGAAAATTATAATAAACCTAAATTTTGAATTATGGAAATTGCATGTGATTAATAATTTAATCATGCATTTTGAAAATTAATTAGCAATGAGTTCTACATAAATAAAACTAAGTCACTTATGGTAAAAAGTGCATTTACCGTAAAGTTTTTGGTAAAAATGTAATTAGGCAAATTATACCCAAAACTATTAAATACTGTGGTGAAACATTACTTTAAGGGGCCGTTTGGTATAGGTTTTTCATTTAGATACCCATGCATCTTGAAGTGGTGTTTTGATTTGACCCCGTTTGGTACAAGATTTTAACAATTTTAACCAGCAAAATCGTTTCCCCAGCCATGGTGAATCATGTGCAAAAGTTGATGTAAATCACTGCTCTGAATAACCACAAGGAGGGTGGTATTTCACGATTAGCTGGGAAAGGAAAATTTGGGCGTGAGGTTGGAGACTAAAATATCCCTGTTGTACAATGAATTTGTTCCAAGTGAAGAGCCATACAAGAGGCAAAATTTCCAACCAATATATCGAAGATGAGTATTATCCGACCACAAACTCGAACTTTCTGACCACAAGGAGGGTGGTATTAGCTGGTATGACAAACTCGAACTTACTTGAAAGAAGGCAATGATGCTGTTGCACGGGAACCATCCATTTTTACATAAGTCATCTAAAAACCGAACAAGAAGATAGGAAAGCAAACAAATCAATATCAGAACCAGACATTAAAATAAATATCAAAGAAAGATTTATGAAGAAACACAGTTTCTTGCACAGATGTCCAACGATACAGTCATTGGTGTATTTCAATTCAGATTCAAAATTTACAAGGGGTATTTTCGGTTTTTCAATATATTTTTCCATCAATATTTTACTTTCAACCAAACATAGATTTTGTAAACTTAAATCAATTTTCCTGGTAATATTCCGGTCTACCAAACACCTTTTTTAAACTTCCCCAGTAAATTTGTTTTCTCACTATTTCCCCACTAATCATATTTCCCTAGTAAAAAATTTTTGTCTTCTACCAAACACCCCCTAAGACATAAGTGAAAGTGGGAATTATTATAAGGTGGTTAAGTCATGAGATTAAAGGAGTAAATGATGAAAAGGACATCATGGGAATTTATGAGAAGTGAAGGGACATAATGGTCATTTCACCATTAATTACTTTATACTTTAACCAAATTGATATTTCTTCCACATTCTCTTCTTCTTATCATGACCGAATCTATGGAAGAGAAGCTCCAAATTTCAACTTCTTCATCTCTCATCTAAACCAAAAAGCTTGAACATCAAAATTGCTTAGAACTTAGTTGTGATCAAAACCTATAATCTACATTTTGTTAAAGACTTGAGTGTGGTGAGAAAAACTCTTGGGAAAGTTGCGCTCCTATTGGTGTTTGGAGTCTTGGAAGCTTGTTTGATCACATCCAAGGTGGGTAAATCATTCCTAGGCCACTTGTGAAGAACTAAGTGGTAAGAAATCTCACTTTCCATGAGTTTTATAATAATGGGTTTGTTACGTTTTCATTATGAAATGTTGGTTGAATTTGTGATGATCAAGTGAGTTTGAGACTTGGTTTATGTTAAGGAATCTAAATAAACGATGAAAGTGTGATAAAATCATCATTTAGACAATCTTCAAGATTTTCAAAAATCCTATGTTGAATTTGATTGTTGATGATTGGTTCCTTGATTCCTAGGATTGAATCAAGTGAACAATTGGGTGGTTTCATGGTGATTGGTTGATTATTGCTTGGTGAAAGTATTGGTAAGTAATCAAACTTGTGTTTGATATATGTAAAATTCATAGTTTTCTATGTTGTAATCATATGCATTTAACTGTAAATTCACCTTGGAATAGGAGTCTGTTTATAGCAAACCATTTGGTTGGAGCTTTAGATATAAAGTTGTCACTGAGTGATTTTTTATATAAAGAAATCAGTGGTCATAAGCTATGCAGGTTAAGCTTTCGGACCTTGAGATTTATCTGTTGATTGTTCCACCAAGCCTGTGTGGGTTTTAGTTTATATGGTTGTGCAATGAATTGAATGTAATGCATGATATGTATTGCTTGTTGTGTGTTGTAAGAGGGATTCTTGCACAGTTATGTGACAAGGGGGATCCTTGTGTAATTCATACAGTATATTGCACGGTTGCGTAATTCATGCACTGTTCTTGGCTTTAGGATTATTTGTCTAAAGCATCCTGGCGACAATATGTTTACCAGGAGGGATTGCTAGGATACTGTCATTTGTATTTTGAGGATGATACGAGGCTCTAGCAAGAATATTATAGAGATAATTGCACACTTTGCATGTGTACATACATTTATATTTATGTCGTTTGTTGTGTATTGCCTGAAGCGAACTTTGGGGTGGAGAAGTCCTCCAAGGACCCTAAGTTTATTGAGATGATTATCTCACCCCGCATTTTGCGAACCCACTTTTAGGTACTGATGGTGCTGGACCATCCATTAGCAGGAGGCCACATTAGATTGCATATTTATGGCGTGCATTAATATATTGAGATATCCTATGTATATGTTAGATGAACATGTATAGAATTTACATTTGATATGTCATGATGTATTTTGTGGACTTAGCCTATGATCACTCTCCTTTGGTATCTTCATGTTGTTGGATGGAGACAAGGACCTTGATCATAGTCATTTTGTGGAGCCAAGTTCCAATATGTTTATTGAGACATTGATGTTATGTATTGGATACATTTAGAGACTATGTAATCATGGACTTTATATATATATATATATATATATATATATATATATATATATATATATAGGGATAGGATCCGTTTACAAACTTTTTTTGCAAATTACACTAAGTACGACCGGTCGTACTTAGTGTAGTTTGTAAACAAAAAAGTTTGTAAATATAACATGCCCCATATATATATATATAATGGAAGGCTATTAAGCCTATTGACATATTATGAAGCTTGATTTGGGCACTTTATGCATGATTGGGGCTGTTGTATTTGGTTTATGCATGGAATGAAAGTGGTCAAGTATGCCAAGTGAACATGTTAGATAACTTGAGGTTAAAGTAACAAAATGATGTTAACTTGTAATCCAAGAAAATAACATAATATGATAATTGTTTGGGGAAAGTGACTCTATTGTTACAGAAGAGTTTTTGTCTTCTGTCGGTGAGAGAGAATTTTTGTGGGGTCCACATATGACAAAAAAGAAATAAGAAAAAATGTTTGGCACAAAAATCGAACTATCAGCTGGAGATTGTTTTCTTTCCTATGACATAAGGCTACTTTATCCCTAATTGTTTATAGATGTAAGTGCACCTAGGTTTTGCCATTTTATGTCAATTAGGTACCAAGAATGGATTAGATAATCCTTAGATTCAAAATATAAAATGATGTTTTTCTATAGAACCTAAGATTTACGTTCATCTTTGGAAAATCATAACTCACTCATTTCTTAGCCAAATGGGACGTGTGAGGTACCAAAATTAAGCTTGGGATATTTACTATTTCTTCCAAAATTATGGGATTAAACTAGGTACATAATCATCCCCAGGTTTTGGTTGAATAATCACTACTAAGAACCGTAGACTTGCTACCAATTTATGGACAGTAGCTTTGATAACGCGTAACTCCTTTGTTCCTTAACGAAATGAGGCGTATTGTATGACAAATTAAAGCCCTAGATTGCTAGTTTCTTGTATAAAAATTTAAGAATAAACTGGGCGGAGGAACATTCCTCTTTTTTTGTTTCTGTTCGCTGTCTTAGTCTGATAAATCAGTTTGTTGCAGACAGTTTGCAAAAAGAGATATCTTGAGTAGTACATATCCAATTAGGGCTTGTAATATGTTGTTGGAAAGTTCAAGAGGTCTAGTTTAACATACTAAAAGATGAGAATTTATGGTTAGGTAGATCATTCCAAGTTTAGGAAAACGTGAAAATTGTTTATGTTGAAAATTGTAAAACTGTGAATTTAGCCTTGTTGGTTTATGGAAACCACATGGCAATCATTAATAGACAATGTATGAGCTAGATTTAATTATTTTGCAATTGTATTTGAGTTATAATTACAGGTTTAAATTGTGTTAAATATGAAAACATTTAGTAATGAAAAAGAAAAAAGTTTTACCGTATTTTAATTCAACTATTGTGATTGTAACTATGCTTAATATCATACGTAATAATAACATACCGGATGCATACAGGGTGTTACAAGTATGGCTTCCCCTCATTTATAAAATCCTGATAAGAATATTTGTATAGGACTTTTTGATAGTTGAACCTTTTGAGTTTCCTCTAGAGACAAGTTTGAGAGATTTCCTCTAGAGAGAAGTTTGAGAGACAGAGAGAGACCTCTTAAGAGAAGTTTGAGAGTACCACCATTGTTGGTAAAGTTTGAGTGTAGCTCTAGTGATACTAAAGAAGTTTGATTTCTTGTATCTTACTATTTTCATAGTTGAAGTTTATTCTAGACTAGTGTCATGTGATTTTTACTTATTCACATTGGAGAAGGTTTTTCACGTTAAAACTGTTGTGTTCTTCTTCTTCATGTCATCTTTGTTTCTGCAATTTCGCTTTCTGCGTTTTGCTGCATTTCTGATTAATAGAAGTCCTAGTTTGTTTGCTGTGTTGGCTGACAAGTAAGCTAGTGAGTGCCGACCAATTGTGATAGTGTGTGCGGACTGGAAATTTTCTCTCTAATGTATTCATTCTTGATTTTTTGCTATCTGTCACAACATGTTCTTTTGTACAACACTTAGATTATGCTTTTGTTCTTTTCTTTGTTCTCAACATTCAGTATCATACACCTAGTGACACTTACTTCGTCTCATGATGGCAATGCTATCCCTTTAACTAGCAGATCTTACTAAAATCTTTCACAAGATACACACAATACAAATTCTCTCTGAATAGCCGAGTTTGAGTAGATAAAAAGTATAAATAAGCTGATAAAGAGGATCAATCATTCTAAATGTAATGCTGGTGTGCTTTCATAACACCAAATCACCAATTATACTTACTCTCATAATGTTATAATTTATTCAAAAAAATAAAAACTCTATAATATGTACTCAATTGCTGTTTATACTTTCGTCTCTCTTTTTGTTAAGGTTATGGTATGAACAATAATTCAGTGTAAACTAATATGACATTAAAAAGCTATAAAAGTTTGATCTGTGTTAAATAGGACCACCCGAAGACTCCCATAATTTAGAATAAATAATTGCAAATTATGCTACGTGGCCATTTTCAACGAACTTATCAACTCGAGTAATGTCAAGGAATTTGTTAACTCCACTTGCTATGAGAAACCTGCAATGATTGAAAAAACGAAATTAACTAACCAAATTATAGCTCTAATAAATGCTTTAAAAGTCATTCGAGTGGCAATTAATATGACATACTCATCTCGAAAAGCTCTTGCCATAGACCAGCAACCTCCCTGAACAGATGATTGCAGGTTCACAGCAATGTTTGGGTTGTGAATACTCTGTCTCATGTGAACCCAACCATGTTGTCCATGCTCATCGTTTGATACTTTTGCCCTGAATTTACCACAAATAAAGTCAGTTTTGATGAATAGAAGAAGGGCACCGGTACACAAGACTCTCGAACTTGCGAGGGTGAGGTGAGCATCTATTATACTCAACCTTACTCTTATATTTTTGCAAAGAGATTATTTTTCATAAACAAACCTGTGACCTTTCGATCACAAGGAGCAACCTTATTAATGTGCTAAGGCTCGCCCTCACTTTGTTGAACAAAAAAAGAAATATAAAATCAGATTTGTGAACTGCTAGAATTTTCTTTATCATGTTTCTACCTATACATGCTAGCATCAATTGAAGCTGGGGCATCATTTGTATCTACAAGGCACCCATCACTCACCCAGCAATCACCACACGAGTCTAACTCCCACCCTTTAAGCCTCCCTTCCTGTACAGAAACGAGAAACTTCATACATATTAATACTTTCAGAATATGGAGGTGAGTTTTCTTTGGTTTTAAGATATATACCTCAATGTAGCTTCGAAATGTTTCAATGGCCTCAGACCCTTTTGCTTTAGCATGTCGAGGTTCAGAGATGATATTTATTCTTAGTTCTATTGATTCATATGGTTCTTCAAGATCTTCTATAAGACTACCAATCCCTTCATTTGATCCCGCAAGCTTCATACGTACCATTTCAATTATGATTTTCACCACCATATAGGCCCCTTTATCATAAAGGCAGTAACATCATCAGTGACATGGTCTATAAAATATACCACATTTGAGACTCAACATAGAAAATTAAAATAATGAAACAAAACATGCATAAAAAGATTAATTTTAACGAACCATCATCAAGGAAATGATTTTCTTTAAGAGCACCATGACCAGATGTTTCCATCATAAGATGGGTTTCAATTCCATCCTTGTTAAGCTGAACACCCTTGTCAATGACATTTCTGTAACCAACACGATATAGGCAATGCTGACCCCCTTTATCAGTTATAAATCTAGTGAGTGCCATACTTGTACGAGCATCAGTCACTACAGTTGATCCTGGATTTTCCTTCAATACAATGGCTGACATGAGAGCAATAAGCTTATCACCATTTATTGGGTTCCCTTTGTTATCAACCACCCCACTTCTGTCCACATCAGTATCAAAAACTATTCCAAGATCAGCTGAGTTTTCTAACACTGCTGCTCTTGTAAGTGCCATGGCAGTTTTGTCTTCAGGGTTGGGAATGTGATTGGGAAACATCCCATCAGGGTTAAGATACAGAGAGCCAAACGTATCTGCACCAAGCTTGTCTAAGACATCCCATGTGAAGAACCCTCCTGAACCGTTTCCAGCATTTACTATTATCTGTACATTGTGTTTCATTGCAAATGAAGAGTAAAATTTTCAGGCATAATTTTCAACTACAATGCAGCATAAATCAAGTTTTAAATAGGATGAACTAGATTTCGAGGAAAACATAAATGGTAAATGGATGGTATTGAATAAGGGCCCAATATAGTGAATAATGATAAAACAATGGTGAGTTAGAATATAGCCAAGAGAGGCATGTGTAACAAACAAACTACAAATATATATCTGTATTAGTCAAACCTGAAATCCCTCGAGTGGAGTGTCATAATGCAAAGGATGATTGATTCTCTCCTTGATGATTTCTCTTAGGTGCTTCGCATAAGTGCTCATGAAATCAACTCTTGTAGGAAGAACGTTAAGCAAGGTAGACACTTTGGCCAGCCTATTTGCATACTTACGAGCAGCTTTATCACATATTTCCTCTACCTCCGGAGAAGTTAATCCCCCTCTCCTTGTAAAAAATTTCAGGCCATTACGAGTGTAAGGTAAGTGAGAAGCTGTCATCTGCAGCAAAACATGCATAATTCATTCAAAGCGTTTGTGCTAAGCCTAACTGTGACAGAACCATGACATCTATTTTATATGCCTCTTATCTAATAAGCCTATGGTTTTCATATTGTTTTGCAATGATAGATTTATAATTCCAACATATAGCATACTTTTAAAGTAGCAGTTATTCATGGTATCAAGTTTGGTATCTTAATTCCTGTTTCTTAGTGGTACTATGAGAGCTACTTGTCAAACAAGATAATAAAAAAAGGGTGAAAGAACCAAAGTGAATATCCAAAGTTTGATGTGACCTACCATGATTGAAGCATTATAGTTAAATGGAGGCAACAATGTGCTCATGAAACAAGCTGGTGTAGTAGCTAGTCCCATATCAAACACCATGCAACCAGCACGAGCAAGACCTGCAAAGACTGCCACACTCAATTTTGACCCTGAAATTCGAGGGTCACGGCCAAGAGACACTCTCACATTTTCTACAGGATGTCCTTGCTCCTTCTCTAAACCATTGATGACCCACTCTCCAAAACTGTGTGTTATTGCCTCTACAGCAGGTGGAGTAAGGTCAACCGTTCTGCCTTTTTCACCTTCCAATGCCACTCCTCTAACATCTGAACCATTCTGAAGCCTCCTAATCTTGTCCATTTCTTCATCCACCGCAACTTCATCATACTTTGCAGTTCCAAAGGATTTCACACATATAGATTTATTGAATGGCAAAGAAAATGAGAAACCAAGTTTGATGTGCAAAGATTTATTTCCAGGCGAAGAAGGGAAGTTTGTTTTCCGGGTATTCTTGTGCAAAGGTGTTGAGAAACTTGGAGAAGTAGAAGCAGCCATTGTTTATTTTATTTGGCGCTCTTGTTTTGTTTGAATGAAGAGCTAGTTTTGGGAGATAAGGCAAACACAGTAGCATTAAACCATAACCTTACAAATCCGATATCACAGGAACTAAAAAATATCTTCAGTAAGCTTACAAACGCCCAAGATTTTTGTTGTTGTTTTTGTCTATATGCCAATTATTTTGTCATTAATTCCAAGTGATATTTTCAGAGAAAAATGTTTACCTGGTATATTCTTGCATATTACTTCCGTGTATCAAAAACATTGCTCATTTGGATTTATTAATCAGAATTGACCATGTTTGTGGCTAGTATCAATTGAAGCACCAAAACAACTTCTCACTGTAAGTGGAGCTAGTAGCTTCTGAAGTCTTCTCTTTACAAGATTTGGAGCAAAGACTGAGAGAATCAACTATCCATACAAACACAAACTCATTTTATTATTTTTATACATAAATTTTAATTCCATAATATATATATTTAAAATATATTTTTCAATCAAGACAAACCATACAAAAAATAGAAAATACATAATGATGCAGTTTTTTAAACATATAGTAGTCATATTCTCAAGATGATGAGCTAAAATTAAGGGAGGGATTCTTGTCTCCATTCTTTTAGTTTTCTCTCCATAAGAGAAGATACATAGTAACCTTTGCTTATGATAATATAATACAAGTAGTGCTGCATGAAGTTAAGAAGGGCAGCTAGTTACACCTAAAACTCAACCTCTGATAAGCCCTTGGAGTCTGGAACATTAATCCACTCAATTTCCACAGTTACTTCGCCAGACTTAACATTTCTCAACCTTAAATTCATCTCTTGGATGATTTTTCCATTTTTCCATATGCAGCTGCTCTCTTCAGCAAGGCAGTTAGTCCTGTCTGGTTGAACCTTCTTGATTACATGGCCATCTGGGACTTCGTTCAACCCCATCTTCACACACTGAAGATATGGTTTTATATCTATATCTGCATCTCCCATTTGGTCGTCCACAGTGAAAGTGTCTTTGTCACAAACTGTCTGAAGAAAAATAAAAATAAAAATCAAAGCCATCAACAATTTAACATTAGTCTATTCTGATAACGATAAACCTGCAACATTACTGATGACATTATATAGACTCTTTCAGAACTCACCAGATGTACCGGAATGTTAACATCCCTAACATAAAGTGTCAATTCTTCATTCCACTCAGGATTACAGTTATCTTTCACAACACCAGTTTTCAGTTTCTGCATCGAAATGAGATAAAATCTTCAGACCAAGTAATTTAGAGCAACAGATAGTAGTTGCGAAAAAAGTTAATTTAATCATTGATAAACATTTAGTACCAATAAAAAAGCAAGATTTTGGATTCAACTTGATGTGGTTATGTTAGCAAATAATCCCTTTTTCAATCACTCCTTAAAATTCAAAATGAAATAGTGATTTACTTAAACAATAAGAGATTAAAAAAACAGATCATACAAAAATCATATCCACTGCACCCCTTTAAATAAAGAGCCCAGACAGATCCTCAAGCTCTTCTTTCACAGGGTTTGCTCATAAGTTCATTTTGTTATTGCAAATAATAGCTCCTTGTAAAGAATTATAACTCAAGTTGCAGTGACTCGTATGGCATAGAATATAAGCATATTTTCTTGTGTTTCCTCAGGGTATAGCTCCCTCAGATAACATACTTTCCCACTAGGAGTCATTCTAACTGTTTTGCAAAATTCTGCCAAAGCTTTATACTAGAAAAAAGCAATATATCATTATATTTTCTCTGAAGAGGAGGCTCCTAGTTTGAATGTCAAAGTAATGTGATGTGCATTTTCCTGCTATAGGAAATAAACATGGTTTATATGGAAACCCTCATGGCAAAAACACTCGGGGGAAAGAAAAAGATAAAGTAAAATAAGAACAAAAACAAAATTGACACATCATGTGTCTTTTTCAGTGCTTATTCTTAAATGTTAAATCTTCTGTAATTAACGTCGAGAAATGGAACCAAAATTCTTTCAATTGAAAACTAGCTCTCAAAGGTGCACGAACCGAAAAAAAAAAAGATTCAAACCCAAAGAGCAAGGTGATAACTCGTAACCTGTTCGCCCATGGTGACAAAGACATAAGGGTCACTGGTACGAGAATCGCGAGCTGTGAGATTAGTGCCTCTTTTGATACGAAGTTTGATCAGACCCAGAATGTTCTCCATTGAAAAACCAACCTTGTGATTGCAGAGTGGCTTACAAATCACGCGAAGAATGGTGATGGAGAAGAAAAGTAACTAACGTAGTTACCTACAAAAAGAAAGTACACACTTTGATGTGTTGGTAGTTGGTACTATATTAAATACAAGTTGGACATTTACATCGTTTTAAATGGAAAGAAACAAAAGTAAAAAGCAAACACTGGTCCCCTACTCAATGAGTTTTACTGATTCAAAATCACAAAGAAAAAAAAAAACAGAAGAGGGAGAAAATAGTCATTTTTTGACAGGCACTAGAATTTGTGTGGATCACCGCTCTTCTCTCCTCCTCTGCTACCCTACAAGTTTGCACGATCGCAAAATATCCAAAAAAATTGTTGTTTCTTTATTTAATGGAAATTGTTTATCTCATTTATTTTTCTACATTCATATATATAGAAGAGAAAAGAGAGAATAGAGAGAGAGAAAAAAAAGTATAAATGAATCCCACACTCAACATCTGTATAGAAAAATTGTATTATCGAAAACAATTCCCCTTAATATAAAAAAAAAAAAAAACAATTCTTAAACAAAGTTTATATTTATCATTTAACATGACACCAAAAAGTTTTTTACACATACAATATTTTGTGGGATTCACATTTTTTGAAGCAAAAAAAAATAAAAAACTACGACACGCAAAACGAATCTCTATAACATTACACAATCATTTTTCCTACAAGATAACTTTTATAAAATCTTTATTTAATATTATTATTCTTACTTTCAAGAGGACAAAACCAATGAAGGCAATCAAATACACTTTAGCTTAATTTGTCGGTTTCTCCAGCTTATTACACCAAGTATCTCATATTTTTCTTTTTTATTTGTCAAATGTTAAACATCGTAATATACTATTGAATAAATGGTTTATACTAGTGAATTTAAATGCAATATACTATAGAATAAGCAAAATAAATGCTAACAACTACAGCATGTAATAATCTAGAATGCAAAAAAAAAACTAAGCAGTTAAGGGTTGACAATCCAGATGCGTGTTAAGTCAACGAAAATCATTCAGAAAATCCAGATGAAGTGTATAGGCGTTCAAATTTTTGTATAACTGTTTTTAGAAATAGTATCCTTTGACACCGGTGTCAAATTTTAAATTTGACACCTCATCTGAGAGCCGTTAGATTAAAAAAGATCAATGGTGTCACATGTTTGCAAATCAGAGTCATTAATCTTTTTTAATCTAACGGCTCTCAAATGAGGTGTCAAATTTAAAATTTGACACTGATATCAAAAGATCTTACCTCCTGTTTTTAACTTTATTTTAAATTTTGATCAAAGTGAGCGGGACATTTTCGGTCCATCAGAAAACAACTAGGATAATGGATTAGAACATGGGTCGGCAAATCACAAACAGTGAGGCCCAGCCTTTGGGGACTACCCATGTAGCTTCTTAGCCCAATGTTCGCTTTCAACTTTCATTCTTTTGTTGCCCACAGAACAAGGACAAATGCCATTAATCCTAGTCTAATTCAAGGGATGTTAATTGTGTTACGAGCTACTTCCCAACAAAACATATGACATTGAAGTAGTGAACATTTTGTTAGAGGATACCGTTGATTATTGATATTTGAATGGTACGACAAAGAGTATTGTTACCCATATTCTTGCTTGGAAATCTCAGAGATAATTAATTATTGAAAATATAATTTCTCATATTGTATGAATTAAAATTATCCCATTAAAAAGTTGATAGGATTCATTAAAAAAAAATGAGAAATAAAATAAGTGTATTTCACTCTCTCTTTTTTTGTGCACAAAATTATTCTGTGCAACATGAGAAATTATATTGGCTCAGTCATTACCTAGTTAAGTAATTCTGCAACATTATGACTTCCCTGAATTCATTCTTTTAGATCTCCAAGTCAAGGGCAAGGTTCTTGTGATGCTATGAGCTTATGATGGTTCTTGTGAACAGAGTAAAACTTTTGTGCAGTGGAGATATAAATATCAAGTAATTGGTAGTGGTACAAGATGCAACACCTAAAATAAAATCCTACTTACGATATATATGATGTTGGATTGTTGTTGGGTATTAAGCTTTTCAAACTAAAACAATGAAAAAAAAATCTTATAAACAAACTCATTACTTTTTGCTTAGCCCTTAATAACCATCTTTGGCTTTCATCTATTTCCAATGCCTTATCATGAAAACACCAGTTTTTAGACATTCTAAAAAAAAAAGATGTGTGTCATTTTAAAATATGTAAAGTTGTGTCATTTTAAGAGAAAGAAAGAGATAGATAAAAGAAAAGAGAGAGTTGACAAAAAAAATAAAAATGTGGGTCCTACTTTGTAAGAGTGAAAGAATATAAGTTGTGTCATTTAAAAAGATAAACATTTTTTCCTTCTCGTAAACTCCATTTTCAATGGTAAACTCACACACTAAGGGCTCCGACATGACCTACTTCTACAATTGGTTTTAAAGGTTACACTAACTTCTAAACCCGGTGTTCATGATTTGAGATATATCTTGAAAAGAATAATGTCTTTGAGCGAAAATATACATGTGCTGTTCTTCTTCTTTTTTCAATAAATTTATATATCCTTTATGGAAGACAATTTTGTTTGGAAATAGTTCAAAATTAAAGCTTTAAATCCTCCAAAAATAATTTCAGAAATAATAGAACAAATACTTCCACCCTCACTTATTCAGCTCTCATACATCAATTAAACTATTATGATTTGATTGTACCATTTAACATCCTCTTTAGTGCATGTCATGCACACCTCTCCCACACTCTTCACCGACGCTTCCTTTAATAAAAGCATGCTTTTTTCACAAAAACCTCTTTATGAAATTTCTCTCTCACACAGATTCATATCCCATTGGATGCATAAAGGAGAGGGAGAGAAAAAAATAGCATTGACAATCTAACAAAAGACATCTGAAGTGGTTCCCCTAATATATTCATACGAATAAGCTTGAAGATTTCGCTTTCTTTATAAAATATGAGATATGTTATTTTATCTATTTTTTTATCACTTTTCAACACCGTTAAATCAGAATTTCAATAAATCTTTAGCATTTCTCTCTCTTCTAGCAATTTTAATCTAACGGTATTAAAAATTATAGATAAAGTAGACATAAAAAAATAGAATAATCTACCCCATAAAATATATACCTAGAATTTTATTATATTTTATTTTTTTTGGGGTGGTGGTGGAGAAACTGGAAACTAGAATTTACTCATATTCATTTGTATTTTAAATAATCAAAGATGAAGCAATAGAAAGAGTAGCATAATTTTCCTACAAATAATTTTATTATGATTAGAATTTAATTCTTAAAACTTGTAAGTGAAGGATCTACTACCAAGCTATTCAATTATCCCCTTAGATCAATTGATTTGTATTCGAGTCAAAGACCCTTTTGAAACCTAAGCTTTTTTTTTTTTTTCCTTTTTTTTTTTTAAAATCTCTTTTGCAATGAGATCACATGCTAGAGCTAAAGTGAAAATCTCTTCAGGATCATGGAATCAAAAGTGAACTCCAAAATAAAGCACATGGCAGATCATATAAGTTGGGCAAAACACCCCCCATACTAGCAAACAATCTCTTGTGATAAACAGCTAGCAAGATAGCTGATAACTCTTGGTTATCTCAACATTTATGGTGTCAAATGCATTGACAAGACAAGAACAGCTTGATCTGATTAGACGTGCAACATATCGAGAGTGATGAACATACATATATTACTAGCAATATGACGTTTGAACTTTAATAACATAAAGCAATGAAGAATTTTAGATGGGACTGTAAGTAATGCTAACATTATTATCTTTGTGTTTGGTACAATACAAATTTGTTTTTATCCAGAAATTATGATTTTTAAGAAGATGATAAAAAAAATTTCAAAAATGTTATCAAGAAAGTGTTTGATAGGTTAAAATATTTTTGGAAATGTTTGATTAATTTTTTTGATATTATATTTGACTGTGTTAAATTTTTCCTTATAATGGAAATCCTAGAATATCTGAGTCGTATTCTTGGATGGTATTTTCAGAAAATTTTACACAAAAAATAAAATTTTAGGAAAATCAGATTTTTGAAAAAAATTTAAAAATCTCGTACCAAACGTGAGTAAATAAGATTATCACCGTCAGTTTTCCGAGAATCCTAAAAAAAATCTTCTATCAAACACAGCTTAAGATTAAAAAAAAATCCTATATTTCACAAGAAATAAAAAAAAAAAATCTTATATACAAATTAATCAAAATCAGATTCGGGGTGCACTTAATTTGAAGATGACAAAATATTTATGAGAGCAATATGTATCTAGCTACACGTAGAAGCGAAGACAAATAAATAAATCATGGAATAGTCATTAATTTCCTTTTGATATGAAAAACCTCAAGGAATGACCATTGCATTTTATTATGATCACTATTTCATTCTATTAATAGAAACATGAGACACCCATTCTTCCTTTGAAAGAATAGTCATTATTGGCAGTTGCAATTAAAAAAATTAAATACTTTTGTTTTATGGTATTAACATTTTTCTTGTAACAGAAAATAAAGTTATCTAATTTGGGTTTTGAGAAAAAAAAATACAGATTATTTTAATAAAATTCATAATTCGTAATAAGTCCCAAATGACTCGTTTTGGAGTTACTAGATAACTTAATTAATTTTCGAGAAACACTTTTCCGTTATTTTATTCAATAAATATATTTATATCTTCATAAAAAATGTAAACTTTCTTCGATTTATCTAATTTAATATTAAACAATATGTATCCAAAAAAATATATTAAACAATATACAAAATTATAACTATTTTATTATATTAAAATACTAATGTAAATCTTTTGATGTTGATTTTCCTTTCATCTTATTTGCATACCTTTTATAAGTGTAACGTTTATGTTTAATGAAGAGTATTTAATTATGTCATTTGATTACATTTCTAATTTCATTTTATGAAGAGTACTAAACAAAAAAAATAACAATTTTAATTTCACTCTAAAATACAACCAAATAGTGGAATAAGAAATGAGTTTTACACGACTACTCAAATGATTAAATATTAATTTAGATAACTCCACTCAAATTTGTTCTTGTTAAAACTCGG